TGCATTTAAATGTGCTCGTGAAACTCTTGTATACTGTAAAATTTATTTTGGTTAGCTTTAATTATCTCATTCATTAATTAAAGGGAAATACATATTATTAATCTACTTGGTTCTATACATTTACAAATGTACACAGTTGTATATTAAGAATTTAATTTCTTAATAATAGGAAAAGTGTTAAAAATTAATATTTAATAATAATGGCACCTGGTGTCAAAACCTGAAGTATTCCTACAGAAAAAATTTCAGTCAAATGTAAATTGCTTTTCATTTGCTATATGAGATTTTTACATAGTAAATAATAAATTGCAATTTATTAAACAGAATGATTTAATGATTTGTAATTATGATTACAAATAATAATCATGCAATTATGATTAAAAATCATTAAATAATCCATAATTAAATGGAAATCATTAAATCATACATAATTAAATGGATTAATAAAATATGTAATTTAATGATTATTTAATAATAAAATGTAATTTATATTAAAGAGCATTATTTCAGTAAACAGGATTTTGACTTAAATGTTCACAAACTTCCCTTAGAAAAGGCTTTACTTATAAAATTACCCAGAAAAGCTACCTTATCTGAGAAGATTTTCAATAAATCTCTATCGATTTTGAGGGCGATCAGGCACAGTCCCTCATCTTCAGGAGTAAAACATTTTTGCGAACATCTCGCTATCTTAAAAATAGCTCTATAAGTCTAAACTGCGTCCTTCAAATTAATCATGCGATCTTACATAACACTTAATGTAGATGCCTCTTGCGAAATCAAAAAGATTGTAAATCAATAGCAATAATAATAAATAATTGTAAATAGAAACTTTTTCTAATTCAAACTGAAACTTTTGACTCCCTTCCTTCTTCCTCTGAATCTTTCTCGCTTTCATCCTAGCAAGACGCTGCTGCAATCATCTAGACTCGCTTTTTATTGCCATTGTATCATGTATTGATTAGTGCTCCCTGCTGAAGAAAAGTCAATATGGCTGCTCTCTGTGTTATTTTCCCAACATCAGTAGGATCAACAAGATTAATATTATCTCCTGCTTTCCAAAGTATGAAAAATGAGCTCTTGAATAATTTGACCAAGGACTCTTTTTATTGCTAGATTTTACTCAGATAAATACTACAAATGGAAGGATGAATTGATTAAAATTCAGGAAATTTAGTGGTACGGAGGATTCAGAAATCAGTACTCCCAATAATCATAACTCATTATAGCAGCTGAAAGGAAACTGAATGTTACCTGCTATTGTTTTTGTGAGTCAGACAAACTTCGGATGGCAGTCATGGGTACAAAAGTCCACCTGTGGTTTCAAGGTCTATGCTAGAGTGTTGCACTGGCATGTAAATATTGTCATTTCAGTCTCTCTCCAACTGTTAATTGGTGAGAAATCTTGAACATGCATTGTGCAAAGCAGGAGTTGAACATCCTGTGTATAAAGAATATGTAGGGCAATGTGAGGAACATTGGTTTGCCCATTGTTCTATTGAAAGGAGAGGGGACAGAAGCCCTGGATATATTCATAGCCATGGGCATTAAAACCTCAGTAATATGATAGTGACTGGTAAGAGTACCAGATATGCACACTACAGGTAAACAGGATGTGCATCCAGTGCACCTCATACTGTTGCTGGGCCAGCATAATGATGAAAAATGCAAGCTTCGAATATGCATTCTCCACACATGGATATGACTATCACAACATTCTAAAAGAAAAGTGGGACTTATTCGAAAAGGTGACATCACACTTTTCATGAACCTGTGTTTGGCGCTGAACACACCATCAAAGGCATTGATTCCTGTGTCAGAGTGTGAAAGAAAGCTGAAGTAATGCTCACTTTACAAATAATCTACAATGCTTCAGATGCCATTGAGCCATACTTGATGTTAAGCGATATATCCAGTTTCCTATAAAAAAATTCCTAACAGTCATGTGGGCAAGATATCTGTCATTTGGGGCAATAGTGAGAGAAGACCAATGAGATTCTCAGGCCAATCTCTGTGGTTCTCCTGGAGTTATTAACTGCAAAGGCTAGCAAAAATCATTAGACCAAAATGATTAGCAGTTGGGATACACAGTAATTCACAATACTGAGTCCCCTTGCAACTGAATTCTGAGACATGTTAGTATGAATTGCTTCTTGTCTTATGAGACATTACATGACCCCCAACCTTCAAAATAACAAGTAAACATAATGTATGGATGAAAAACTGGCATTTTAGTCTGCCTTTTTAAATTACTTTGTAGTGTTTATTTACTCTTTCATATAATGTACACATGCTGTGGAATACTGAACATTTGCATATCCCAGCATGTTCTACTTTTTATGCAAATTTCAGATTTGATGTATGATTCTGTCATGGTGTAATGATTCAAATGGCCAACAGCTACAAATAACAGTTCATTACATATAAATTTTACAACCTTGGTAAGCATTTCCAGATAAAAAATCTTCATCTGAAGAAAATACAAATTGCTGTTCCTCGAGCAGTGTTTTTTTCAGTGCCTTTTGATATTAGACAATGATCAAACTATTGAATACACTGAAAACAATACATTCAATACAAAAGCTCTGAAAAGGACTCAGTAGTGAATGGCATTAATTGATTGCAAAAGATGCTTCCTGACCCAGTTAAAGCAACACCTCTAACAGTTTAGAAACTCAACAAATTAAAAACAGCTTAGGAAATTATTTAGGACATTACTACTTAAATAATTATTTAACTCATAATTATTAATTTAATGCAATTCTAATTCTAGAAAAGACTGGTCCAAATTCTAGAACCAAGTGCTTTTGTTAGATCAAATTGAGTCGATTTTATGTCAATTTTCGGCAATGACTCCCCAAGTCTCTGGGCTCATTCCAATGAAGGCCAGGAAAACACTAAAATTATCATAAAAGGCACAAGGATTTTTATGTGCTGTAAGTTTTAGAAATTATATTAAGAAGTGGAATATTCCACAGATATATCTTACACTTATTGTTTTGGGCAGTATGCTAATATCCCATGTTACGATTGCCCTGTTTGTTAGTGATAAAGAATGAAAAAAAAAAAAAAAAATTGTGCTAAGTTTAAAGCTTATTTTAAAATAAGTTTCATTTCTCAGCTTGATGTGTAATTAATTTAGTCACCGTTATGGATTTAAGCACCCAGCAAGTATCTGACCTTTGGAGGGTAAGAAAAAGTTTATTTTGAATGTAGTAGTTGATTAAAATTGGCAAAATTGATTCATAGCTGTAATCAGAAAGAAAATAAATATTGGAAATCAAAGGAAAAAACTTGTTTTCCTATTTGGGTAAGAAAATGTTCAACACATTGCAGAAAAATGTGTGTAGCTACTAAACATATTTTCCTGATAAATGAGCAAGAGCAAAAAATTACTTCTTTGTGTTTATTATGAATGTGCGAAATGTGAAAAAATGAACACGTGAAAAAAAATGTGTGTAGCTACTAAACATATTTTCCTGATAAATGAGCAAGAGCAAAAAATTACTTCTTTGTGTTTATTACTATGTGATTTTATGAATTAAGAAATGTGAAATATTATTAAATTACTTCAAACACTACTTTCTACCCTAAATCTGGTTTACTAATTTTAAAGATAATATTTATTACTTTTCAATCCTCTTCAGCTCCAATATGTGTCTCCTACTAACAACAAAGAAATTAGCCACCCCTTTTTACTGCATTGTCTTCTTCATATAAATGCAATTTTATATACTAATTCCAGCTATTACATTATAAAGAATTTAGTCTACGGAAAAGTCACTTCATGTTCTCATTATGCTGCCAGAGTATAACTTTGAAATTTTAAATGAAAAAACTGAGAATGCAAATGTCCTTTTAAAACAAATGCTAACAAAATGCAAAAAAGAAAACTCTATTATAATACAGAAATAAAAAAACTGCAAGTAACTTCTTTTCTTGATATTTTCTGTCACATTGCAAATATTAAGTAAATCTTTCATTTTCTAAAGTATTAATCCTAGAAATGATTTCCAGTTACAGAAGTTTTTAAAATAAGATAGAGAAAGTTATTGAAATAAATTCAATTATGTATATCAAAGAAGTCTATAAATATAAAATCAAATATTGTATATGGTATCGGTAGCACAAAAATTCCAAGTAAAATATTCATTATGCCTAATCATGTATATATGCATGTATGTAGGTGGGTACCTATATATTTATTTAAACACATAAATATGGCTGACAAATTCACAAAAATATTCAAGAATGAATTTTCTGACTTAGATACCATTTCAATGCTTAAATTTTCAAACAAATTTAGGGAGCATTTAAAAGACAAAAATGCTTGTTCGGCAATTAATGGTTCTATATTATAAAATGGTATCATATGTTATGAAATTTGTAGCTTGCCCACTGAATTCTTACATCACATAGAATTCAATAGTAGATTCACATTTAGAATTCTCAATAGTGTGTTAAATGTTGCCATAAATTTTCCTACTTTCTATTGTCATTTCTGAATTCATCATATCAATGCATAGCTTTCTTAACAAAATGACCTGCACAACTATCTTTGTCTTTTTAACTTTATTATTAAGCATCCCTTTCTTTGCACTTACCCCACACAAAATTCAATAACAAAATCACAAAATTTTTAAAAACAGCATATCATTAGGATTCCTGATATAGTATTAAGTGTTGCCAAAATATTTTTTTTAATTCCCTATATCATTTCTTTCAAAATAATACATAACAATAACATTTAGAGGCAGTATCATTTTATTTGAAAAGTAATGTGAACATAAAAGTGGTGCGGAGAAGAATGAGAAGCGAGCACATCTGGCGATAGTAAAAAATTAAAAATAGAAACATCTACATAAACCTACCATCCCAGAGTTCAGTTTTTACTATAAAAATAACCATTTCTCTCATAAAATGAGTCAATGGTTAATAATTTAACTTAAATGGGCAACACAATACCTAACAGAACTTAAAAATACACTCAATTTTCTCACCTCAGAGTATGGCCCAAACCACCAGTTTGTAGGATCAAGTTCCTTGCTCTCAAATCATCCAATAACTCAAATGCATTGATTTCAGAACCATCAATAGAAATGTCATCATCTAATGCAGGCATCTTCAAAGAAACCTGATGGTTGCCACCAACGACTTCCAGTTGATGCCATTCTCAGGAAGAACTATAGGATAAACATGAGCATGAGAATAATTCAGTTCATGTAGTAGATGCCATTGTATGCCTGAGAAATGAGCAAAATAATTGAAAATTTTAAAAAATTAATAAAAAGTGATATAACTAAATATTACTGAAATAGTGAAACCATTTTAATGCATTAAAATATTTTTTGTGCGTATGTGTGTACTTATAAATATTTATGGGGCAAGAAAATAAAAATTCAGCACTAGAAATTGATGGATGATTGTCAATCAAATGGTAACTTTAATGTACATTTTAAATTGCAACAATGTATTGTTCAGTTAATGAAGCAAAGAGAACTTGAATGATTCTTCTTTTTAGTGGCAACCAAATTGCTGATAAAAAATCTGAAATTTTAACAACTGTTTCTATGCAGTGGTTTTATTGTTATATATAAATACCAGCATTTAGTTACTTTCTTCAAGTGTCTTCTCATAACAATGAAGCAGGAAATGAAATAAGAACTGGATAATAACAAAAGCCTTCATATGCAGAAAAGGTTTCATTCACCTTTTTTGTATATTATATGCACAATGAAGTGCATATGCATATCTACACAATGCTATTCATCCCTAAGGATAAATATCATTATGCAGATATTCTGGTACTGCTGCCTCATTTTTGAACATGTGAAGATATTCCCATAGGATATGCACAAGTGTAAGTTTAGCATCTTGAAGCAATTGCTAAAAATCCTGATCATTTAAGAAGCAATCTTGAATGATCATGATCTTTGTAGTCTCAGCCATAATCATGTGTAGCCAATAACACTAAACCTTAGTTCAGGTGATCACCTAACTACATGAGCAATCCAGACAGGGCGCCTCATTTAGTTGACTCTTTACACCTGATTAGATAAATTGTGACTACTTATTTCTTTGTACAGACTTCAGAAGCCAAAGAACTGTGATAGTACCACATCCAACAGCATGCCACTGTATCAGCATCTGCCTTCTACGAGTTGTAGAACACAATGACTGGTTCATTGATGAATGGAAGCAAGTGGCATGCAGGTATGAGTCTTGATTCCAAATGCATTAAGCTGACTTTAAGGTTAGAAATACGGTACTATATCCTTATAAAGCCAAACTTCCAATGTGCCAGTCTGAAAATGGACAAGGT